CAACCTTCCTTGCCAAATACCTGGCAGCTTCTGTACCACTGTTTTATTTACATGTCCAGGCTAGATAGCACAGCTTATACTGCCACCTTCAACCCGTCCTTGAGAGCAACAGAAATGGCTCCAAGGCAACCTATCCCATTTGCTGAGCATCCAGTCATGATGCTGAGCTAGACCAGCACAGCACTGGCTGGTGCTGGGGCAACCTTTTGATGCTGGACTCCTAAATGCTGACTGCAGACTGTCAGACAGAGCAAACAGCAGCCTGTTTACTTCTTACAGCCAAAAGCAAACTTACACAAACCAAAACAGAACTGCACTCAGAGATCACAGATCCACTTACCACTGTGAAAGAAACTGCCACTTGAGGCAAGAACTGCGTTTCTCTTATTGCTGGTTGCCTGTACCTGGCTCCATGTAGCCACCACGTTAGTCAGGAATTATCAGATAACACAGAAGACAGTCACACTCTCTATCCCCAGGAAAATCCAGATGTTCACCCTGCCTCTTAACATCAGGTTTCCCCCATGCAGCAAAAAGATGGAGCAGACAGATTTGCATGGAAGATGTAACATGGTCACTCCTCTGCATTAGGAACTCTGCATGTAAGACAAACATTACAAAAAACCCTATGAATTAAAAACTCTATTAAAATCTTCAAGACCAGGTTGGCTGGAGCTTTCAATAACCTGGCCTAGTGGAAGGTTCCTGCCTATGGCAGGGGGATTGGATCTCCATGGTTTTTAAGGTCCCTTCCAACCCAAAAAAAGTCTATGATGCCAAGTACACGTTGTGTGACAATCTGAGAATTTCTGTACTCATGTTTGCATATTCCAATAATACCAGTAAAGCAATTTTGATAAAGAGGGCAGAAGGTATGCAGCCAGAGAACAAGAGGCAGTGATGGGAAAAAAAAAAAAAGAAAAAACCAAACTTCCAAGCACAATGCTTTGAAAATGGATGCAAAAACCAGGACACTTAATAGGCAAATAAAAAAAGAGTTTCAGAGAGCAAAGTAATATAAAAAGAAAATTACTTTGACAAGTTACTTTGTAGCATCAAGAGGAAATGTGGATGCTTTTGGAGGATGAGCTTTGTGCTAATAAAAATGGTATTCTAATGGTAAAGGTACCACACATTTTACTTTAAGTCAAGTGGTTGCTCTAGGTATAAGAAAAACTGAAAGCCTACTCATCAAAACAAATATGTTTACATACTGAAACAAACATTTCATGTTTGGTGCTGCAGCAAAAATTAAGTAGTTGCTCGGGTGACAAAACCAGCACACAACATTCAAATGAACTGTATTTTTTTAATACATATTTAAATATTTAATCTTGTGGCCCACCTACCACTTCAATCTTTCACCACTAGATAGGACTTGGGAATTTCCCTTTCCTCTCTGAAAATCTGATCTGAAATTGGATATTAACTGTTCACACTTAAACACAATTACTGAAGACTTCCTTGGAAGGAACACTGTCCTGAAATCCTTGTCTGGTTAAAGTGAGCAAATATCTACTTAAAGTGAGCATCTAGAGTTCTCATACCTGGAAGATTAGAAGTCTTTAGCTGCAAATACATCCTTGAATTTGGATTAATTTTGCAGACAGGCATTTTTAGCAATTTGTATAGATTTTCCATTCGATGAGAAATGTAGATATGACCAAATAAATAAAGACAAAATTGCTCAGATACCCAAAACTATTATTTTAAAGGTCCTTGTATACAGACAGTTCTTCCACGTAAGGCTTTATTCCAGCAATATATGTCATTATATGCACAGAGTCAATAAACAGGCTCAATTATTTTTCTTTACTCTTCCTCTACCCATAAGGAACCATACTGAAGTCAGCAAGGCCCAGTATAATGCCAGAATATAAAATAAATTTAAAAATAGAATCAGAGCTTAAGGACATTAACTTAATCCAGAGAAGAACCAAAAGTCATCAGCAAAGTAACATCTGAAAAAAACATTAAGTGAGCAATAAGGTTACTGGGTTTCTGGTTTCTTGCCTTAAACCAGTAACTTATTACTGCCAGGAGATATATTTTTACTGATGTACTACTATAAAAAGTAAAACAAGACAGCACTTACAAAAAGAAAAAAAAAGGAAAATAAGCTCCAATATAACATCCTATCCTAGGACTGTTTTAAAGAAAAGTAAAATATAAGCCATAACCCCCAATATACAGTTCTGAGGTCTAATTCATTCCAAGCATGTCATACAGACATTAGTGCTCGCTACAAAAACATTTAAGAAGCGTTACCTATCCCTTCTTACACCCACTAGTCCCTTCTCACCACTTATTAGTGAATTAACATTGTTTAAAAAGATGATGAAGTTATTGGTCTGATTGCCTTTCATATTTTTTTTCCAGCTGAGAGAAGGTAAGCCCATGATTCAGTGTGTTGTTGTAACCCAAGTCTTGTATTTTCAGGTTTCTGTCTAACCAAGGAACAGAGAAGCCCACACATTTTACTAGATCAACCCACCAGGCCAAGTAACCACCTTAAATATTATTTCTGCAGCTCTGAATTTAAAAGTGTTAGTCTTTTAACTTGTCTGTAACTTATAAACAAGACTAGCAATAACAATTGGATAGTCTAGTAACTATCATTCAAAGAAGTCATTCCTTCTCTTCAGTAAAAATATATGTTCTGCACAGGTCAAATGACAGAATACCAAGTGACACCCACAAAGTAAATTCTACTCATCAGAGCAAGACTGAGATCACAGGTGCATTGTACAGGTATCACAGACAGAACTACAGAGGTCCAAAAGATCAACCCACCCTTGCTGAGGCCAAATATACCCAGAAGACCTAGCAGACTCCTGACACCTGGTTAACATATGGCTGTAGGAATTAAGTGATGGAGTCTTTCAAAAAAAAACACCTGCTGTGCATAGGACAGTACAATGAGATTTGTGCACTTATTATATGAGAAAGATCGAGATTTCTCTCACTCTTCTGTCACTCAAGGAATAACAACAATAACAAAGGAAGTCTTGCTTTAGACTCTTGTTTACCAAAAAATGAAATTGGGATGGGACAATCCAACTATAACCCACCCTTTGGGACGGAAAAATCCCACAAAAAGTTGATCACGATGATCAGAGTCCCTTTCAATCTGATTCTAACTTAGCTGCAATCATGAGAGTATACATACCCTGAACTTACCTTCAGCTATAGATACCAAACAACACCATGCCTATCTGCTCACCTTCATTCTGGCTGGGGGTAGCATGGGCAACAGAAAGTATCACAGGGATTCCAGCTGACTTTTACAGTGGGTAGGCTGGGCTGCCTAAGCATGCTTTTTCAGGGACATATTCCACTCTGCAAGCTCCTTTAAGGAAAGAGGACAAGCAGTAGTGCAGCCTCACCTACATGAAAGTTTCTGTTCTGCTCTTTCCTGAGGAAAGGGGGAGGGTCCACCTCATACGCCAAAGAATATAACAACAATTAGCTATGGCTTCAGCACAGGCACTTCTACATCCATTCATGCTTCATCCTGGGGATCACCATCAGGTCCAGTAAACACCAGCTGTTCTGTTTGTTCTGATGAATGGCATTAGACCTGTTTGTTCTCCCCTCTTGCCTTCGGTCGAGGTCAGGCAGTGCTTTTGGAAAAGCACCTACAGAACTGCCCACAAGCACCGGCTGGCCCCAGTCTCAGTCTGCTGAAAGTCATCCTCAAGCACAGTTGTTAACTTGAAACTTTAGAGGACATACTACCTCTCCAGATGTGCTGTGAGAGGAAGCCATTACACTTACTCCTGTTTCTTCCTATTTCTGTGTCATTTAAAAATAGACAGTGAGGGGAAAGAAACCCACAGCTATACCACAATTGGAGATTTTATTCTTCTCTGTTGAAAACAGGTCCTCCAACATGCTGGAACAAAACCAGGCACCTGTCTGGAGCTCCTCAGCAGGTCAGTTATTTCAGTTTAACATACGACTTTTTCCCTCCCTCTCACGTATGTTCCCACCACCCAAAGCAGCCGGACTTTGTTGCTCCCAGGGCTATCCCAGGGGACAGCGGAGGGGAGGGGAGGCCTCGGGGCCTTGTGACTAACCGAGCTGCACTTATGTCGGCGCTGCTCCCTGGCTGAGGAATAACAAAACAAACCCTTCTCTGCCTCACGCCTGGATTAATGCAGCGCCCTTTCCAGATGGAGAAAAAGGGCACGGGCGGGCCGGGCCCTGGAGCCGCTCTTTCCGGGAGATGAGACACCCCCCCCCGCCGCCCCGGGCGGGCAGCGCTCTCGGACCGCCCTGGATTTTGATCCTGAGAAGCCACGTCCGCGATGTGACAAAGCTCGGCCTAAGCGCTGTCATCTCCTCACGCACACCACCCCCATCCCATCCCATCCCATCCCATCGTCCCGAGACGGAGGCCGCGACCGAGCGGCGGCCGCGCCCCGGAACGCCCCCAGCCCCACAGCCACGGCCCGCCGGGAGAAGCGCGGCGAGCCTCCCCTCCCCACCCAGCGGCGGAGCGAGGGAGTCCCCGCCGGCCCGGCCCGGCGGAGCGCGGCGGGCACGCACCGTGTAGAGCAGGTTGAGGGCGCAAAGGCAGTTCTTGGAGCAGGCGAAGCCCCCGCACGCCATCGCGGCTCCGCCACCGGCCCCGCTCAGCGGCCGCAGCTCCGCGGCAGCGCTAGGAGGCCGCAGCCCCGCCCCCGGCGCGCGCGGGTGCGGCCGCAGCAGGTGAGCGGCGCCCGTTGATTGGCCGCCGCCGGGCGCAAAGGTAAATGTATGCAAATGTGGGCGGTGACGTCACGCCGCCGGCCTCTCTCCGGCGGCGCCGCGATCCCGCTCCGCGATCCCGGGTGGGCCCGGCGCGTCCCCGGGGGGCGGGAGCGCGCCACGTTCCCCGCTATTGTGACGACACACGCCTGGGCCTCGCCCCCGCCGCGCCCCCGGTCCCGCAGCGCCGCCTGCCCCGCGGCCCCGCCTGCCCCGCCTGCCCCGCCTGCCCCGCCTGCCCCGCCGCCCCGGCTGCGTGCGCTGCCTGCGGGTCGAACCGTTCTGTGCAGGGCACGGGCGGTTCCTCGCGGCTCGCTCGGGGCGGCACGTACCTACAGTCGATGGCCTGTGTAATCCCGAGGAGACATCCAGGGATTTACTTGTGCAGGCCGTGAAAGTGTTCGGAGTGCTGTTAGTTTTACCAGCTAATCACAGAATCATCAGGGTTGTAAGAGACCTCTAAGGTCACGAAGTCCAACCAGCAACCTAATGCTTCCACTGTCTACTTATTTCTATTTTTAACATTTTTTTATTTACTTTTTTTTTGCTAAGTCGTGTTTTCAGTGTGCTTCATTACATGTTTAATCTGTACATTTCCTTAATTTGAGGGTTAAATGTTTTCACTTACAATTATTTCACTTTACAAAACTGTCTATCAGTAATTTCCTGCTATTCGGTACCTAATTCTTATTGCTGTTCTCAAGAGGCTCGAGTGGTGTCCCTCTTTGCTAGAACTCTCCAAAATCCTGTCTCCACAGTCGCCATGGGCTGGGCTCTGCTGAATGATGCTTTATAACAGCTACAATAAATCTAATAACTGGCAGCTATTTCAACATGGACATGTGTTGCAGGATTAATGTCCAAGACAGTTTCTTATCTTTTCTGCTGGGATTCACAAAGAGACAAGGAGACACGTGTTGCTCCCTCGGGTTGTCTGTAGGGGTACATCGCACAGTAGTTTTACTTTATCAGGGTTTGGTGTCAAAGAAGTTGGGATGGTCAGTTCCTAGTAAGCAGAGGAAGCTGCATCTACTTTCTGATAAATTCACAACAATTCTTAATAGGAACTTGTCATCAAAACAGTTCAAGGAGGAAATTCCAAAAGCATTTTGTTTTCTGTAATTTGGCTGGCCTTCATCTGCTAAGGGAAGCCCCAGCAGGCAAATAATCCTTGCCAACAGTGAGACAGAGAGCAGTTGAACAGCAGCTTTGTCTTTCCTAGTCTGTCATTCAGATCTTTTGTTTTTCTTTTTTTTATTTTAAACATCTTTTTTCCATTCTCTTTGATGTTTTGCCAGACTTCTGCAATTAAATATAACACACATTTTTTTCTCATGCAATAGCAAACACTCATTTTTTTACTGATGTATATCTACCTCTCAGCTGGTAGACAGGCAACAAATTAAAATTCTCCAATATTTGTGACCACAAATTAAATCTGAATGCTCAACAGCTGCTGAAGTTTTATGTATGTTTGTTTCTAAACTTGACAGACACAGACTATCCCTGCTGCTGGAGTTTTGTGAAGTGACAGGAGGAGTTAAAAATCTGTTGGTTTGTTGGGGTTTTTTTCACCTTGATAATTAAACTGACTTTTAATTTGGCCTATTTGGCTAATTTGGCCTGTTGGAAATGCATATTTAATGACTGGAACTACTGCCTTTACTGGTCCACGCTTCTGATCTTTTGGGCCCAAATCTGGCAGAGCATAAACCCAGTATAAAGTCATTTGGTTCAGTGCAATTTTACTGGCTGTTTTTAATTTTTTTGAAAATACCAGTTTCAGAAATTCTTTGATGTCTACTCAATAGGAAAGACTATCTTGAGTGTATACCCGTTCCTGAACACAAGAAGCCATCAGCATATCAAATGTTTTTGTTGGATTTTGTTGCAAACGCTCACATCTAAAGTTACTATACCATTGTTCCTTTGGTTATAGTGCTGAATTATTCAATATTATCATCCGCTGCCCTTGGGCTTAGGAGATCTCTTTCACAGTTAATTATTAAAAGATATACCTCCACTTTTTTAATTAATGCTGGTGTTTCTTATTAAGGGACCCAGCTCCTACAGCCCTTTGTGGGTGGGAAGTACCTCTTACATGTTTCCTATTTCATGTTCAGGCAGGCATCGAACCATGTCTAATGCAACTTGGTTCATACCCACCTCTGACCATAAACTCTGGGGCACAATTCAGCTGGTATAAACAGTCAAAGGCTCCAATTAAGTAAATAGAGCTATGACAAATGTAGCAGGGGTCTAGTTCTCCCTCTCCCACCCCCTTCCAATTTTGTTTACAAGTTATGGTACAAATTTGGATTTAGAATAATACTTTTGCTGACACAGCAGTTGTCTGTGCTGACTGCTGTAGTTTCTGATAGTGGATAGGAGTACATCTGTGCTCCCGTTCCACATCAGACTTCAGCACTTAGCTTGTATTTTGGCTGGAACTAAATTGGCTTAATTCTTTTAAATGGCTAATTATAATTTGTTAGTTATGGAAAGAGTCTCCTGGAGTTGGAAGGAAATCTTTCTCCCTTTGTAGGGAAAACATAGATAGTGTTTATTTGATTTTTTTTTCTTAAGGTTATTTAAATAGCTGGTCCAAGTGAGGATTCTAAGTGTTTGTCTCCTCAGCCTTTGTCTCTGTAGGGGATAAATGCTGCACTCCCATCTGTTACATGAATTCAGAGCTGCCAGACGTAACCAAGAGCAGAATACGCCTTCTCCTTTTCTTCCCTCACTCGCTTGTTCTCTGCTTCCTTGCACAGTCTTTGTTCTCCTGACCTTCTTTGGTGTATTTCAATGGCACTGCTGGCAACAAGAGGGGCTACAAACAGCGTGAATTAGTCTTTCTTTCATGGGAAACTGCAGCAGGGGGGAGAGTACACTGGGCACTTGTAATGCTGCTGATGTGCACTTACAAGGCAGTACAAAAAGTAAACGGTCCTGCAAAGGGAAAGGGGAGTGAAAACATAGAGTTACTGGGTCTCAATGCTGGCACACTTCTTACAAGTCAGAAAAGCTTCAAATGAAGTCGTTTGGGTAGTTTACACTTCTTTTCCTGGTAAACTCACATCAGCTACATTGGTTTTAGGAGGTTTTCTGCATGGGGCCTTCTGCTGAAACAATGTGAATGCAAACTCAGCTTGTAGGCAAATCTTTTCTGTTTCTGTAGCCTGTGACCCCATGATTGCTGCTGGTTTCTGTTATTTATTATGTCTGTGAAATCTTAAGGTCTGTATCACTTCTGAAGCACAAGCTTGAAATGTAAAGGCTCAAGTATATACAAAATTCTCCTGAAGTATATACATTGTCTTTAAGAATGTGTGACCTCCTTTCTTTCTCTCTACTATTATGGCACGTCTGAAACTGTGATTGAAACGTTGTTTGCAGAAATTGATTTTTATCGCTTTATTTTTCCCAGGTTTACAATGAGTTGTTGACAGCACTTTGAGTATTTTATTTCACTCTTTGTTTTGCAAAGTCATTTTTCTTTCCCTGTTGTTTGTATGAAGTCTCTCATGCACATCAAAATCAGGGAGGGGGAAAAGAGGGTTAAAAAAAGCCAAGAAATACTATGAGTAATATTTATTGTGTACAGTTGACATATTTAGATGTTAGTTTTGAGGTGAACAGTGTATATGCACAAAGGAGCAGGGTTTCAGCTGGCTTAACTTGGAGTAAATAAAGGCCTTATCTTACCTTTGCAGTTGACCATTAAAGTATGTTCCTGTCCCTGGGCCAGTTAAGTACGTCTGAAGTTTGATGACAACTGTAGAATCTGTCAGCAAAGTCTGTGAAGTAAAATGCTGGTTGTCATCAACCGTGTCTCTCAATGGATGTAGAGTTACCAAAGTCCTGTCATTTCTTGTGTCGTTGAACAGGGAAATCTGAGTCATCTCAGTCACCTGAACCGCCTCAGTTATTGAGTCATGTCAGTTAGTCACCTTAGTTGTCAGTAACCTATGACTGAATATACGGAGTCAATAAAACATACACTCGAAATGTTATCTGCAGTAACAATCGAGATTTTTTTTTTTTAATTCAGCACAAATGTCCTGTGGATATACCGCAGTTATTTCCTGATGTATTAGTAATGAATTGGCTGTGCCATGTTGTTTCCATGCAGTCATGACGTCCTCCCTGCTTCCTGGAACAAAACCAGTTCCCAGCACTGCTGTTGCGCTTGTGCCATCCCATCCTCCACCTTAAAGAAGCCCTTTCTGGCACTGGGCAGTGAGGAATAGCATGGGTAAGTGTAGCTGTTGATTTAATCTTTGCTGTCTTACAGGTTGACACAAAGGTGTTGTGGTAGTGTTTCATGATGATCATTACAAGCCAGACACGATGGAGAGACAAGTCAAGCATACAGAATAAACTTATTTGTGTTGTTTGGATTGGAGGTACTTCTCTGCAGAGAAGAAAAAATGTACAAAATTGTTTAGCTTTTTTTTTTTTTTTTTTTTTTTTAGTGGAGCATTGTAGATTGAGAAAGGGAAATTAGGACAGGAAAATAGGACATTTAAGTACCGTGGCTAGAGCAATCCACAACTAGGTCAGAAATTAGCTCCTCCAAAAGCACAAAGGCATAGCACATGTTCAATTTAATAAAGGTTACAAAGGAAATAACAGTTTGTTCATCTTTGCTCTTGGAGAGACAGATAATGAATCTGTTCTTTGGCAAACTTTCTGACCAAAATCCAAATGGCATAAAGGTCCCGCATTAAGCCCGGGAAGTTAAACTGCTATTAGAAAACTACCTAGAAGAGAGACTCATTCAAGCAAAAGCAGTTACAGGCAAGTGCAAAACTGTTGCTCTGGATGGAGCGTCCAGATTTCCAGTCTTGCATTTTAAGCCTTTCTTTATGATTTCCACCAGATCTACCATGCAGTGGTTGAAAATAACATTGGAGTGTAACAACAGCACATCTACTTGTTAATTCAGTTGATGCCCATGTCTTTTGATTGTCTCATAAATAGCACTTGCCAGACAAAATATAGGCTTGTTTTTTCCCTCTACTGTTTACAGACAGGTGAGGGGGAAAAAAACCCCAAAAGAACAAAACAAAGAGCTAAAATAGCCCCAGGACACAGACTTTAAAACGAAAGCATATTTCCAGAGGTCAGCCTGCTAAAAATAGTCAAAGAGACAAATACTCATTCTATAGGTTCAGGAGCTAGGTGTTGGTATTTCTGAAGTCCTTAACTGTAGGAATCACTTTTTGGCACATTATAATCCATTTTTAATTAAGCTTATAGAGGATGAGGATAAGGAGAGTTTGTTGCATCTAATGTATTAAAGAAACAACTAGAGGCTGAAAATACCAGTATAATGATATTTCGAATAGTAGTATACGTGAAAGGCTTGACCTAAAGCCCAGTTCTTCTGTTCAAGACCAGGATTTGGAAATGTTCTGAAATTGGGCTGTTTCTAGGGAAGTCTGGAAGAGAAAAAGGCAGAATTCTAGATCCAGGAAGTGAAGCGATCTAGTGCTTCCTGCAGCCAAATCCAAACTTACTTGTCCTGTTACGTATAAGGCACCCACATGTCTCTCTGGAGAGGTGGATAACTGCTCGGAAAGTAGCCTCTGGAAGACTGTGTGTATCATACTCTGCTTTCGCAGGAAGTGGGTCAGAGCAATACGCTGGCACCTCACCCATCACCACGTCTGTTCTTCAGGTCTGAAATAAACCCAGCAAACTTCAACAGCAAACATAAGTTAAGACAATAACTTTGTGCTTAACAGGACATGTTAATGCTTGTGGACTAACAGTGGGGTGTAAGCAGCAGGAGAATAAATAGTTTTCAGATTAATTGCAGGTTTTATTGGTTTTATGTTATGTCTGCTGGAAGTTCTCATTACCATTGCATCCCAAAGATTTCCTATTTATCACATTCAGGTGGAAACCATCACCCTTTGATTTTGGTTTAAAGGGAAAATGGATACCATCTGCCCAATGCCCTCCCAGGTGATTCCCTGGGAGACTTCCAAGAAATCCTAAGAAGCAGAAATCCGAAGTCTTTACAAGTACGTAGCAGAACAGTAGAGGATGGTTTGAGCAAGGCCTTGTACAGTGGAAGCATAAGGGTGGGGAGAAAAGCTGGGTGTTACAAAGGAAATTTGAGCACCAAGGCTCTGATGTAAGCTGATTATTTAAGTGATAATCACCAGGTCTGTCTTTTGGCTGTGTCACTGCTCCTCCTGTGTGTGTGAACTGTGACAAGTTGTGATGGATGTGCCCATCACAGAACCACGGAGAGCACAGGTTGGAAGGGACTCCTGGTGGTTGTCTGATCCAACCTTCTGCTCAAAAGCCAAAGCAGTTTTGTCAGAGAGATGTTCAGTCAAATTTTGAACATCTCTGAGGATGAAGGGCCACAACAACTTGTTCCAGTGCTTGAGTACTCTCACTGTGAAAACTATTCCATTATCAGAATTAACCTCGCTGCAACTTGTGACCATTGCCTTGTTCTTTTGCTGTGTCCATCTGAGAAGCTTGGCTCTGTCTTCAGTCTAACTCCTTTTTGAGAGTAAAAGACTGTAGTCAGATCTACCCCCAGCCTTCTTCTATGTAGGTTAAATAAACACAGTTCCATTGTCATTCCTACGTCATTTGTCCAGGAGCCAGAACAGTAATTTTTTTCCCTGTGACATCATGAGCTGGTATTTTCCTTTGGCATCCTGATAATGTGGGGTAGATCACTTCTGAGAGAATAGAGACATTTCATTCAAGCCAGCAGTCCCCAGGTGAAACAAATTCATAGGATAAAGAAAAAGAATGCCAAGCTTTGTTGTATCTGTTGTTTCTTTCTGTGGTTTATGTAAAGCACAGTCAGTGTGCTCACCCTGCTCCGTCAGTGTGGCTTAGCTGTGGTAAAGTTAGCTATTGTGGTCCTGTGGTGATGTAAGAATCTTTCAGAAATGGACGATTTGGCTATGAGCAAAACCTTGAAAACATGAGTAGTAAATGGCTCAAAATTCAGAAGGTAAATTTAAAGAACCTAATTTCTTTCTTAATATCAGATCTTAAACCAGTGTCATAACTAATTTAGACACCTGACATACATTTTGAAGCAGCTGGTTCAGTGATAAAAATACGTGCCCTTAGCAAGTCATCTTTCTTTAAAATGTCGCATTATTAGAACAGTCTAGCTTCTTTTCTTGCAAAGAGAAGACCTACAGCCACGAGCTGCCAGTATTGTGAATACAGTGCTTCTGAGCAGGCGTGAGGAGCATATAGAAAAAGCTATGACTCTTTAGTTAGGAAAACAACCTGCTCCTGCCAGCCAGTTCTGCTGCATCACTGCCATCATCTGTGCGCAAGCTGGGGACAAGCTGGAAAGCAGTTTCATCATCTGGTTGTTTCCCTTGACAGCACTAAAAGCGTATCAGGCCCTCACATAAAAATTTAAAGCAACATGAGTGCTCAAGAGTATGTTCATCTATAAGAACAGCTCCTTATTTTCCAGTAGTCTTCTTGCAAGCAGATGACACTAACAGCAGAATGGGTATCTAGTAACTAGGAAATAAAAGAAAAAACCTTGTTTGTTACTTCAAGTGTCAGGTGATATCCAGAGTTTGACAGTGAAACCCTGAAGTCTCATGTTTATTCTGAATTTTCTGCTTTGCTCTTGAGCTATATAAATCCAGCTCCAGTACAGCAGCAGACATAACACTTTGAAAATCAGCCTATTTGTCTTGGTGTGGAGTGCACTTCTGAGTTAATGTAAAATAAGCATTATATAAGCTTACACATTTAAACTTAGCTTCATATTTTATCCTACAAGTTAGCTGCTTATGGAGTCTAATGTCAGTGCTTTTTGCTATCACTGCCAAAACATCTGCATTAGGGACATTACACAAGCTGACAGGCAGACACTGGTATCTGCAATAAGTAATTAATCCCTTAAACACACAGGAATTTTCTGTCAGTTGAATTGACTTGGTACAATTTCCCTAAAGGAGAGATAAAGCTGATGGGGCATGGCTTATCTTTCACCAAAATTTCTTCTTGGAGTCCCAAGATTTGCCTCTTTTTATTGTCGCCCTACCCAACCTGCCCTCACAATTTAGGGTTTGCCCTTTTGAAACTGTGATGTTTGTGTTTCTAGTTGGTGCTGGTCAAGACAGCCATCACTTGAAAATGGTTTTACATGAATTGGACAGGTATTAGCTTTGGGTTGTTCTTTTTTTCTATGCAGTTTTTTGTTACTGTACAGTTTACACACAGAGAAGAATGTTCTGTCAGTGTGCTAATACAGTTTCCATTTAATTGTGTACTTCACAGGTATAAAGAACCATTCTGCAAGAAAGTAAGAGAAGCAAACAGTTAAGAATGAAGAAAGGACGCAATGGGTTTTATACTGTTCTATTTTATTTTCTTCTTTTTTTTTAAGGGAATAACTGAAGAATCCTTAAATAGAGAATACTTGCAGTGACTGTTCTTTACAGAATGTACACTGACTGCTAATCATATCTAAAGGTAAATCTAAACTTAATTCTGCTGAAAAAGTTTAAAATAATTAGTTTACTTCCTAGTATCAGCTGGAAAGTGTTTTTGACACCATCTTGTGTTTTATTTCCACCTTCTATGTATGAGTGAGAGATGGCAGCTCTGGAAGCTGCCAGCCTGTCGCCACAGGAGTGGCTTTTCTTCTAGAGGTGTTTTGAAACTTAATGGCACGGTTTCCCTATAGTAGCCCAAGTCATGGCAGCTTGCAGTATGCTTGATTCTGCTTGTCTTGTTGATGCCACTGAGAGAACCACAGCAGCTGACAAAGCAATAACTGGGATGCTGATGAAAAACAAGGCTGCTTCAGCAGTAGCAAACCTTTTTATATATGAACCCACCTTTGAAAGGATCCAGCCTTAAATTAATATTGTGTACTCCGAATAAAGTGCTCTTGAAGGCTGCTTTTCCCCAGGAAATATTTCTTCATGTAATTTAGAAAGAGCAAGCAATCTCATACTAGGAGCGGACAGATCTGGAGCGCTGAAACCTGTGGGTGCATTGTGATGCTGCTTTGCACCTGTTCAGTGGGATTGCTGGCATGAGTGATAAAACATATTATGAGTGCTATCAGCTAATACAAGTGATATTGTGATAGAAGCAGACCAGCAAATGTCAGACAGACTTTATGGCTCTCTCCTTGTCAGCAGCAGGCTAGTGTCTATTTCTAGTCTCAACTCCGGCTATTGGTGCAAAGATTTTCTTTGAGAAAGAAAGGAGTGGACTTAGGTCTCTTTTTCCTGCTTCCCATTACTATATCTGTGTTGGGGCTGAGACACCGCAACTTCATCCTCCTAAGTCTTTGCTGTCAGAATTCATAAAGTATTTCCTGGTGTCTTGATGTCTGCCTTAATTGTCATCTTTATCTCTGAGCCAAAGGACAGGAAGGTCACAGGTCTGATATAAAAAAGAGGAAGATCCCTCAGAGGGTTTACTCCGAACACTGGGTAAATCCTTAACTGCTAAGACAGTTTGTCCTTCAAATTGTATGGGGTTTTTTTTATTTGACATTCCTGTGTCAAAGGCATGTACCCTGTACTAACCAAATACTGTAGGCACCTCTGCATTTGTGGAGCAGAACACACTTGATATTTTTATTCAATAGTTGAGGTTTTTTCACAGTACTTTATCAGATCTGTTTAATATTATTTTCCTGAGCTGGGTGATTTCTGGTTTTTGTTTGCCTCTGAAGAAGAATATAGTTCTGCTCATTACAGACTAGACAGCAGTGAAACCTGGCTGGGGAGAGGTGGTTGAGTAACATAATGATACCGTCTCCAAATATTTCTCCAAAACTTGAAGGAGTCTCTGGTTGTGATTGGGGAATCTGTTTCATCTTAGGGGAATATCTTAATTTCCAATACTTCCATTTTATGGGGTGGAGTAAGAACCCTTGGGAATCAGAATATCTCTGGGTTCCTGATATTTTAAGTGACTTCTTGTGAGAACAGCATGAATTTCAGTATGGAAACAAAATTCCAGCATAAATGTCATCTACAGCATGGTTCAGTTGATTCAGACTGAACAGACTGAACATTGTTGCAGGACTGGCAGGTTTTTGCTCTGCTGTCACTCTCTCATTTATGTTTGTAGAAGGCCACGCTTTTATGCTTTTCCTCTAGTTTACTTTTAGAGGTTCCCATCTATACTATTAAAATTGGCCCTAGTGGATTCTTCCATTGATGTGGGAAGAAGTTGTCCTTTTTCTTCCTCTCTGAGGATTAGCATTCCCAGGAAGACCACACTTTTCCTCTGTGCCTTTCTCATGTTACAGCTTCAGAGTTGCTTTGCAGCATCAGCACCACCATGTGTTTCTCTTCAGTCAGTTGTCCATATGTTGCTTACAGCTTTCAGACCTCTCCCAGATCCCATGGAAGCCATTTGGAGTTTAGGGTCATGAGAACCAGTTGCTTTAGGACATCTTTAGTAGATATATTCATGGCTTTGATTTATCCATGCTGATTCTTCTTGTCTGCATCTGATTCTTGCATTTCATCCATCCTACTCAAGTTTAGTAATGTATAAAGGTGAAGTTGCACACAGGCAGAACACAAACAAGTGTCTGTTTGCTTTTCTGGTCCTTGAAGGGAGGATTGTTTTATTAATAAGTCATCCAGATGTGTGACTGTATCATTTGAGCTGCATTTTGCCCCAAGAATCCTTCAGTTTAAAGGAGCACCATGAGCTGCTGTTTCAGGAAGGTTTCTAAAAAAAAAAAAAAATCAGTTGCTGTAACAGCCACTAAATTATAACAGAAATGTGACACAAATGCTAAAGAAATCACTAAACTATAATCAGTTATCATAAAAATACTAAAACTAACCCACATAAACAAAACTAAGAAAACATACAAAGGGAACTGTGAATGTGATTATGCACAAAATGCTGTTGAAAGCTGAAATAGAAGAAAAAAATTGAGATAAAGCAGTCTCTGCTCATCAGTAACAGGTGTGACTGTAAGAGGAGCAGCACATACTTGCTGTTTGGTGCAGAAGGGACACACATGACCTTGAATGATACAAGTATTCTGAATTATCTTTCTGTCCTGTTTTTTGTGTGCTGTACTTCTCTTGGGACTGCTACTTCCCTCTCTGTCTTTGCAGTGTTTTCCCTGACAAGCTACTGGCCTATTTGGTGTCTCTGGAGACTGCATCCCTACAAGTCTGGGCTGCTGTGATTATTTTAGCACTCAATGCAGGTTTCCCTGAGGAACAGTGGAATTGTGCCAGATGTGGTTCATGTGCTCTGCTTCCCCTGGGCTTGGCAGGGAGGCTGTGTGCCAGCTGGAGGGGCACCAAGAGGGGACTGAAGCAATGGCACTTGGTCCCTGCCCTGGGCCCTGGGAAAGGAGGGATCCTCTTTCCTTCCTCCAGGCAAGGGGCTGCAGAACATGTTGCTGCACAGGCTCTTCAGCAGCATGGGAGGGCAGACAGCTCTGATTGCAAGTCCAGAAGTTTACCTGAGGGTCACAAAATGTTTTCACAGTCTTTCTGGAAATCTGGGCCAACCTGTGATGAAGACGAAGGTGAGAGGTGATCTGTCTGGGAGCAGAAGGCATTTCCATGTTGAATTTATTGAATTATGTGTGGTTTGTGATGGGAGAGAATTCAGGACGTTCTCAGCTGGGGACAGGATGACATACCCTTTAGTTAGAAATCAGCCTTAATGGGTTCTTCTGGAACAGCTTTTACAGGTTCAGAGTTTTCTGGATTCACTAATGTCTTAAGCTCAAAGCAAAATGCAGAAAATATGAAGTCTGTGATAACAGGAAGAAATACAAGGTTGTTTCTACCTACCCCTGAATCCCACTGTCTTGATAAAATCACAGAAAACTGGGTTTTTTTATTTTCAAAAGGTAGGAAAAGTGCAATCTTCCACATCTGTCCATATACTGCTTCAATTTCTTGATACCAGAAAAATTTCTGGTTGTGGTAGTATAAGTGTCATTTCCAGGCTCTTTCAGATGATATCTTTGCATTTGCTTTATCTCAGGGCCTGGATCATAGGGACAGACTTGATGCAGGGATGGGCACCAAGCCTCATGATAAATACCATTTTATTCCTAGCTAGTGCAGTGTTGGCTGAGACTCTTGAGCAAAGGTGGAAAAGTCTGAATTTCCTTTATTTAAACTTCTTTAGGTGATCAACACAGTACAAGAGTCTGTGACAACTTTTAACCTTTTCTTTCACTGACATGTCCTACTTATTCCACGAACTCTAAATTAGCTGCCTTCTCATTTCCCTTTAGAATCTCCTTCAGTATCACAGTATCACCATCTGTTTTCTCTCAGGTGGTCTTATTAATACAACTCTAAATTTTAGATGAGTTGTTCTCAGATGATTTTTATTTTTTCAAGGCTGCTGCTTCTATTCTGGACCTGGGGAAGGACTGATGTATTTGAAAGCTTATTGATTTTTCCCAACTAGACTAGTGGGTTTAATAACATAGGTCTGGCTAAAAGCCTTATTTTAGTCATATCCTTGGATACATCAACAACACTGTTTTGTTATTTCTTCTGGAATAATTTATGGCTGTCAGTGTTATGCAAATATCCCAGCAATAGCTAGTAATGATATGGACAGTGTTATGTTGGCCTGTCAGCAATGTTCCTAATCTTCATCAGGGAAAAATAATCAGAAAAATCTCAGGCAACTGATGTACTGGAAGAGACTGCAATGCAAAAGCGCCTTCTTGTTATGAAGTTGCCATGATACAATCATTTGTTCATTCTGGATTGAATCAATCTTTTTCTTATTCCCGTGTTTTCCTATATCAGAGGAATTTGGTATTCAGGGTGCGTTTCTTCCTGTTGGTGGAGTTTCAGAACAGTTTGCAGTTTCCCTGAAGTCCCCTGGATGAAGGGTGCTGGACAGTATGGAAGCAGACACTGGAGTCTTGTAATACCACTAGTAGAAGAGCTGTGATGAGTGTAGGATGAAGTGGCAGTCATTAATGTTGAACTGTTAAATGAGGTACTTGGGCTGAGGTAATTGAGTTTCTGGGAGCCAGCAGCCATGAGAGTGACAGATCCAAGTACCAAAATGCTACCTGTCTGTGCAGCTGTGTCATATTAGCATCTCCAGCACTGGCCTCTTTCCTCATGCTAACTGGGAAAAGATGGTGGATCTTGGCAACCAGTCCAGCAACAACTCTTCAGTGGGTAGGGGACATGTTCTGTATGTCTGCAAAACAGAGCCATCCGTGTGGTCCTGCTTCATGATGGCTGAGACGGACAAGTGCATTTCTCTCTTGCATCCATGTAGGAGAGGCAGTGGGAAAGCAAGCACACACTCTTCACTCTCCTAATCCACATCTCCTCAGATGAGTACAAGGGACGCTGCTCTCACAGCATGGCCCCTGGTGCCCCAAGGCAGCAGTGGTGAGGTGAGAGTCCAACCTGCACAGCTCCTACTAAAGCTCACGAGGTCCCTTGTAATCCTGTAATTCTTTCTCATCAAGAGAACAATGCTGGTAAACTGGAGAGACCCAGAGGGGGCCAAGCATCTGAACCTGCTAGTGTGTGGTGTGACGTGAGCTGTCAGGCCTCTGTGGGAGGAAACCGAGGCCACCACAGTGCTGTTAATCAGATTCCCAACAAGAAAAAATAGCAAGTGAGCAGGTCATCCAGGACACCAGCACAGCACTCTGTGACATGGGCCAAATATAGGTTATGTGTACAGCTTGCGAGTGCTCACCTGCCCCAGTTGTGTCTTCAGGTGTTGGCATTAACTTCCCCTCCTGGGATTTGTTTCCATTTACATGAAGTTTTAAAGGCCCATGTGGCTGGTAAGGAGCAAGAATTAACTTTTCCTTAAAATACCATAGCAAAAACAAAATCAAAAGCCTGTGAAAAGTGAACGAAGCCAGCTCTGATGATTTGCTTTCCCCCCCTTCAAAATCAAAAGATGTGGCTTTTTTTGGAAAATGTATACTTACGTAATTTGTCCTCATTTTGGTTCTTAATAACCAGCACAGCTCAGCGAGTGCTGACTGGTTGGCTGCAATTAACCCGTGTAATGTTATTTGTGGCTCTTTTTGAGAAAGAATTGGTTTGTCTCAGCCTACAAGCCTTATTTTAGATAATCCCAATTTTAAGTGCAACTGTGATTTTAAAGGTAGTTACTTTTGTCCATGAATGTGATAGGAGCTTAAAGCAAAGCCCTTGAGATGCCAGAGGAGACCCATTACAATTACCAGGCAGTTTACCAGTGGCTCGGTAAGGGCATGCTTAGGAGAGACAGGTTTTATTCTCCACCTGCTGTTTAGACAAACCCAGCAAGGCTGAATCACCATGTGCCCTATATCTGCAACCACTCTAGGCCTGAAATAGCTGGTTCTGGAAAGTCACATTTTGAACAAGGGGTTCAAAACAGCAACCCCACACCCACCCTTACATCACTGAATGTAAGGGATTGGGCCACCTTTTCTCGCTCTTTGCTTGCTTTGAAGTGCTGGTTTGTCATTGCTGAAGTGCAGAAACTGTCCTGAAATAAAATTGTGCCACTCAAATCCCAACGATGATGTGATCCCTCTACTGGAGAGCACTTGCACACCAGAGGAACATTTTAAAGCAATATAATTGGCTTTCTTAGTTAAAACCTCAGCATGATTTCAGAAGGGAGAGAAGCCAGAAGGGAAGAATCACCTTCAAATTCAGTAATCCCCATTTTGAAGTGCACCCTATTGCAATTTATTGTCAAGTAAAAGATGTATGTACAGTTCTGACATTTAGATTGCACTGATGTTTCAAAATTGAATGCAATATATTATGTGAAGCACATTTTCTATGAAGTATCTTTGTATTTTTACAAGATGGATTCCTTATTTGAAAAATATATTTAGTGCTGACTATAGCTTTCATTTCTCTAGCAGAGAAACACTAATTCAAGGGTTGTGTTGAAGAAATGCTTTGGGTTGGGAACATTTTTAACTGAAAAGCAGATTCTGTGAAGGCTTCCAGGGAAGGGCACTTTGCCTGAAGAGAGTCACATCAAAAGCTCCACCTGGCTTCTAAATCACAGGTTTCTTGAAAAACCTTATCATTACACAGACTTGTACTGAAATTCAGTCTGATACAAACCAGATCAATTTGTATTTGTGCCCCTACCTCATTCAGTTACGAGCATATACGCAAAATGCTCGATGAAAAAATACACGTGCATTGAAAGTCCCCATCTGAACTAATCTCAGAGATTTGATGGGGAAAATTCCTGAAAACTAGATACAGAAACACTTAGTGCCTAATAATTTTGCTGGGAGGAGGTGGGCAAGCTGAGAGGGGCTCCCAGAAGCTACACATTAGACATGATATGAACACAGAAGATGCTGGATTTTGGGTGATCTGTGACTGAAAAATGGACAACTCCTGTCAGCCCAGAGTGCAACTCCTCACCCTGCTCTAAATCACAAGTCTCAACTTGGCCAGCGGCCCTGTGCTAAAAACACTTGTTTCTCTCCAACACAACATCTATAAATGGAGCTGGGACAACTGCGTCAGCCATCACGGAATATCTCAACTCGGCAGGGACCCATAAGGATCACTGGGCACAACTCGATGCGTGCCTGGCTTGTAGCTACCTGAACTTCAGTGAAGTGGATCCCACTGAACTTCGCTTATATCTGCAGTATGCCAGGGACACAGTCACAGCAGCACCCCAGATTTGCTGCCTTTGGCCTCAACGTGCCTCCTGCTGTTGATGATCCTTGTCTCCAGCAGATGGCCCAGCCAGCCCGCAACCAGCCTTGCTCTCCCTGGCAATCTCACAGCAGGCACATTGTGTTATTCAAGACTGGCACCTCTGAAGTCAGTTTTAAGTTTCAAATTATACAGAAAAGTGGTTTTACGTACACCAAGCTAAATATTCATTAGTACCTCAAAAAATGGCAATTTTGAATTTGAAATGTTTTTAGCAATAGTGGCTCCATATCAATGACTCAATAGTACCATGTCACTGCTGCAGAGTTTGTGAAAAGATGGTCCCAGGACAGTCATGCCCGGCAAATTTATTTTCTGTAATAACAAAGAGGAAAATGAAAAGCGCACAGCTAATGCATCAGTTCTACTTTTTAATATGACTATCTTACGGTTTCCTCTAAGTTACTGGAAATATACCCATGACATATTTCCCCATCCAAAGATCAATACCTGTTACAAAAATAAATGCTGTTCTAGATGAAAAGCTGGCATTCAACAGCACTTATTTCCACTTGCTATTTGCTGTTTCCAGTAAAAGCTAGATATATACTGAGACAAGAGACTTAGATATGACCTGTGGTTAATATGAAGTGCTGAGTTTCCTATAGAAAAATCTGTACTATCTTTTAGCTTATTGGTTTCTAATGACAAAATACACCACTTCATTAGTTAAATACGCTCTTTCATGCTTTTCCCCTGTAAGAATACAAGCCTGTCTTTTCTAAACCTGATGTAAATAAATTTCAGATTTCACATGTAATGACTTCTGGTCATGCATGTTTTGAAGCTAATACTTCTAAAACGAGATGATTTGTCTTGCAAAACTCAGCAATCACCAGAAACCGAGTGTCGTTTGAACTGAGAAGAGCACATTATTCTACTTATCATTCACATAAATTGTACCTGCAAAACTGCAACTCCACAGATTTGTTCCTGTACATTTTCTTTGAATTAATTAATGGAATGAATCAACACTTGCTATGGAATATGGTTAATCTGTCCAAAGTTATACGGAAGGACAGGAATAAAGGTTTGATAGTGATCCCAGTTAACTGTGGATGCTGTTTTTTTGGGTGAGAAGTATGAAAACTGTCTCTTGACATTCTTGTGTTATTTTCACTTGAAGAATCATAAAAACTTTGGCAAGCCAAATTGAGAAAGCATACACTTTAGCACCACAAAACTAAGATATAAAAGCCATTTATTCAAAAAAATGTGGTGGTGTCAAATCACATACACAAGCCAATATTGAGCTACAAACACAGACCAAACAGTTCTATAAACAGAAATTGGAGTGTTCATATACCATAGTACCTGAAAAAGACCGTTAATAAAAAGGAGTCCATAAGTATTTAATTTCACTTTTTCTATATGGCTCCTTGCTGGATGTCTTTGCCTAAGTTAGTGTACGATGAGCCAGAGGTAAGAGTCCCAAGTAAAGCATCTAATGCCTCAGGGCTCCATTAAAAACCTTTATTCTTCTAAACAAAAGGAAAGTCTAGTCTATAGTTTTCTGTATGACACTGAAGTAAAGCCTCTTTGCTTGAACAGTACGGCATTCCGAAGCGCATTTGGCATTAACCTAGATTGAGACTGGGCTTTGTGGAACCGTCTCAGTTCTCCTCCCCTTCAGACTCCGACTCTGGAAGAGAATAAAGTAAAACACTTCATGTAGGTTGCACAAGGACAGTGATGTGAGTTATTCTATAAAAATAACAAGATATCCTTCCAAACTGAAAATTTTCATCGCATGTAGTACTTCCTAGGAAAGGCTGGCAGATCAGAGTGAGCCAGAAACAATCACGCAGCTTCAGAAGAGGAAGGCCTACTCTGCTGCCCTCCACAGTGGAGCTCTTCATTTACAGATCTATCACTGTAATTTTCACCACATTGCTATGAATGATTCTGGCCCTCATCTGCAGAGCCACACAATGCATATCTGAGCTGAGTTTAATAAAGGATCAGCATTATTTGCTCACTCTTCTAATCTCTACGAGTAGACGGTACTGTTATCATCCAGGAAGCACCCTTAAAACTATTTGCTCTGCAAACGTCACTCAGCATCATCATCCAGACTATCTAGAAAGGCAGAAGTAGTGTTACCCTACAGCAGGTATGAAGCCTGTAAAAACAAATTTTTTTTATGATTTGCACAGCCTAAGATAAAAGTCATTTAGAAGTAGAAGCAGAAGTAGCTTAGAAATAGGAATATACATGGTGATTTTGTCACCTAAAGCTACTTTGCATCATATTGTATTTCTGTGTTCACCTGACAGGAAAGGGCTCACTGCCAACAAATACTACACCATAGATCAGATTTCTCAGAGCAAACATGGTCTGTGTGTTCCTACAGAAACATTTAGTCTCCGTTTGTACTGGATTTTGTAATGAAAACATCTGGCAGAGGGGACATGCAGGAAAGGATAAAAATAAAGAGCAGCCAAAAGGCATACAATCAGAAAATTAAAAGGGGAAAATACTGCTTAATCAGACCAAGATTGCCCATCCAAAATCTCAAGTGTGAAAGGAGCTGCCATTTTTATACTGCTATCTGAACATGTGAATTGCTGCAAAGTTTTCTCTCTTCCTTGGCATTTCTACATATTGCCTCCAAGTTTATAAAACTAATTACATTAAATATATTCAAATGAACACTAACAATTCTATCTCTATCTATTACACATGGATTTATCTTCCCAACTGATGCAGAATTCTTTTTCTGTGCAAAAAAAGGTAATTTACGTATTCAGTACAAACTAAAGTATTTTCCTATGCGGAACATGAGAAAAAACAAGTTAAGGACTAAAGGAACTAGTTCCTCTCCCAAATAACCATTTTAAAGCAGCAAATACAGATCACATAATCTTAGTCTGAACATTCAGCTAAATCCAGTTTCAAGAACCATGGCACAGGCAGGCTTTATGCTATGTTCATGTTGCCATTAAACATAATAGCAGAGAAAACACCAAGACAGAAAACTGTTTGGTAGTGCGAGCTAACACCAAGGTACTTCATCCTGTCACCAGTGCAGAGTTCCTCCCTGCAGAAGCTTAAAAAGATCTTATCTACAGACAAGTGGTACCTGATGATTAAAGGACTTCATAGGGATACCACAATCAGTAAAAAGCAGCAAATGTTGTTAAGCTTGTCCAGAAACAATTTGGACAGTGATGCCTGCTGTTTTCTATTCTAAATCCTATATATGCCTGGTACAACTGAAATCTGAAAAAATAAGATTGTTTTATAAAGAGACTACCATAGTTCTTCAAATGAACACGTACCTTCTTCAGCGTTTTGCAGCCACTCCACAAATTTCTTCATCTGGTCAAGAAAAACACTTTTGCCTTTAGCAACATGTGCTTCTTTATACCATTTGAGGATAGCTTCTTCGCTCAGAACATCAGCTGAAATACAGATCAGTGTTTGTAAAAAATCAATGTATTTTTTAGAGATTAGCAGATTTCAAACATAAGAGGAAATTTTTTAAAGGCAGCATAAAATAAGTTAATATGATCGCAGTGGAACAAGCTTTGCATGATCTATATTAGGCTACAAATACAGAATATTTGATGCATATTATGGGTTCCAGATGCAATAAAATGTGTAATGTATTAGGCTTAAAATAAAGTATTAAATATTGTGCCTCTGTAAAGAAGAGTTCTCTACTCATCTGTTTTAAATACACCACATTAGACAGTTAGATAAAACAAATAAAATAATCAGCCTGCACATCTTGGAAGTTACCACAATAAGAATTACCATGCTCTTTCTTGCTGTTGTATCACAGAACTGTGCATGGTTCTAGAAACCTGAAGTGAACAGACACCTCCTGACTGAACACTTAAAAGACAACCAGTAGGGATTTCTGCAGTCCCTAAAGGCTTTATATTGTTTTTAGCTACTAAGTTTTAAGATCACTATTCAGACCACCCATTTTAAGGGACTGGCTTGGATGGACAGCACAGCTGACATTCTTATGACAAGCATCAGGAACAAAATTGCTCTCAGTGAGGAAATGTGAGGCTGAGTACAATTCAGAATAAAGAAATACTAATAAACAGCAAGGACACTTATTGTTTCCAACAGATGCAAATTTAGGTCTAGCAACAGACCTCTAGCCCCAGGACAAAACTCCTGTGATCCAGCCAAGCCAAGTATCTCAGTAATTGACAGCTGTGGAGGCAAAATCTGGGATCGACAATGGTATTTTGGCAGTTATATAATGCAAGAGGCAAGAACAAACAAAATCAACAAAATCAACAAACAAAAAAAACAAATCAACAAAAAAAAAATCAAAATGTGTTCTATAAAAAGACTAAAGACAGCTTTCTACACCTCATTAAAATTTCCATTCTTTTTGTCTTTGAACAAACTGCTCTCCCTTGCTCTGCAAAATCAAGGCATTTATGTACTTCACTGCTTCCTTGAGCTCCTCAGTGCCATCCCACCCACTGGGTATTTGCTTGCCAAAGCACCGACCCTGATCACCACTTTCTGCTTCAGCCTGAAGTTACAGCAGATGTGGCAGGGAAGGGAAGACGACCAACTGAAATACATGACAGCAGAACTCCAAAGCATCTGATCAAATGAGACAGAGGAGACACATTTCACATATGCTGTTGAATAATAAACAGATGGAAGCAACAGGGATACGTTTGAACTTAATTAAAACTATCCCAAGACATCCAACAGTAACTGAAGTCTCCCTGAAAATCAGGAATTTAGTAAGTGCATGTGACTGGAAATTTCCTTGTCTCTCAGACTCTTTTCCAAAATAAAACCTCTTCTGCAGTTTGCTGCAACTGATACTAATGCAGAGAAAATGCAGGGAAAACAGGACTACACTGGCTCTAGGCTTTTTTCCATACATATAAATTGTGCTTAGTGAACTCTACAAGTGGCACACAAAGCCACTACCTTTCTGAAATCACAACCTGCCACAACGAACTTTTTCGCCAATGCTACTAAAATGCTGGAGCTAAGAAAGAGGTTTCTAACACGTTGCATTAAATACTTGTCAACAGTCCTTAGCAACAGCTCAAAGGCATTACAGTATTTAACAAATCTAGATTTTAATTTAGCAAACCTGAAAATATTTAACATGGGCTCGTGAATCTGCAGTTTAATGTAAAAATGCATGTGAAAAGCTAATATTTACCACACAGTCCTGAAGTTCCAACAACTACACCTGCAAAATTACACAGGGTATGACACATATTATGAATCTTAAGGACTGGTAAAGAAAATCATGGGAGACTTCAGAAAAAAAAAAAGCAAAACAACCAAACAACAAAAACCCCCCAAACCAACAACAACAATAAAAAAATTAGCAGAGCAACCCCCTCCCCAGCTCAAGCTCTGGGGTACTGTGGACATTTACAAGCATGAAGTTGCTGTATAGAACAAACTGCTGAAGCTGTTGCTGCATGACAGTTCACATTATGATACTGTACAAGGAAGCTGGTGGGCACATAGCTCAGTTCA